GGTTTTCGAATTAGAGCAATAATAGAATTTTACGAATTTAGTAATAATAGAATTTTACGAATTTAATAATCCTCATATTACCATGAATTTAATAATCCTCATATTACCATGAAGACAATATCTTCTTATCGACAACTCTAAGCATAATTCCTAATCTAACCTCAAAAACAAACTAAAAAAATGCGTTCATACACATATTAAAGTAAAAAAAATTGTATAATTCATTATATGTTAAAAGTTCATTCTTTTTTCTGTATAATAAATTTTAAGATGTAAGATCACATAAAAACTTTTTGTCATGAATAATAAATCCTGAAATTAATAACTTGTTACTAGCTTTATAGTTTTTATGCTTATTAAAGGTTATTATGAATTTTTTTTAATTTATTAGAAAATCAATTGCGAACATAAAAAATATATATTCATAAAGTTTAAAAACATACTAAAATTTAGGCATAATAATGCCTATTGTAACGGTTGGTTGGGAGAGCGACGCACAAGGAATGCGCAGTGTAATTCCAACCGTTACTTATGTGGATTGAATGATCGAAGGCTTCTATAGGGTATAGTAATTCTATTAAGGCAACTTAATGATGGTGTGAAATTAAAGATGAACTAATCATTTTTATTCGCTTTTTATTCTTAAATTTATTCTACTTTAATTATTTATCATTTAATGTATGAAAATTTATCTATCAATTAACGTTAAGAGAGCATATAATAATTTATTTTTATGCGCTTTTTATTTCTTAAATTTATTTTATTTTATTGTTTTCACTTTTTTTTTAATCGGTAAATGGATACCGTTTCTAAAACGAATTATTTAATTCACAAATGACACGTGCCAATTCCGGATCGACCTACTTCATTTAAGAGATTTACGAATGACACGTGCCAATTCCGGATCGACTTAAATTCCGTAACGACACGCTAAACTTGTAACAGGTATAACGCTAACGCTAACACTAAATTTTCTATTTAGTAAAAATAATCATATATATTGCACATTATTCTTAATTTGTTAATTTATTGATTATTGATTATTGCACATTATTCTTAATTTGTTAATTTATTGATTATTGATTTGCTAGTGCGAAAAAAAGATCCGGAAATAATTTTTCCTCTGCGAATCATCGTCCACCGTGTGATAATATTTAGATAATCTTGCTATTTATAGCATTTGATTAAATAAAAAAATAATTTATTCTAAGTATTAGGCACTTTATATATTATTGATAGCCTAATACAATCTTCACGTAAACACGACTATACCAAAGTTGGCAACAGATTTAATATGAATGTTTAAAGTTGTCAACAATATGAAAGCGTTATTTTAACTGTTAATGATACTGAGATGGATGATGCTGAAATTTGTAGATTCAACCAATCAGTTTTCATAAAGGGAACCATTCTGAATTAGACTCGAGTTATTTTTACATGTCTTTATTATTTTGATTAAATAATAATAACAATTATTATTATTATTTTTGTTTATGATAAAGTAAATTGTTTTTGTAAAAAAAATTGAAAATTTGAAAATTTTGGGCCGAAGAGTAATGCAAAACAAAAGTAACTTGGTGTAGCATTGGATATCAATTAAAATAATTTATTCACGCTCATAGCAATTTACTGTATAGGTGGAAACAACAATTATATGACAGAAAATTTCTTCTAAGGCCGTTCAGCAGGAATGGTAAAATTAGAGGTCATTTGCCTTTTTTTCAAATGACCTAGGTCATTTCGGACTAAAATACATAATACAATTGGGGTCATTTGAGGTCATTTGAGGTCATTTGAGGTCATTTGAAGGTCATTTGAAGGTCATTTACCATCCCTGGTTCAAGGTTAATTAGTTGTTTAACGTAACCCCCCCAGGTTAGTGTCCTCCCGAAATTAAACAAGCCAATCATAATGCAGGATATCTAATATTTGTGTGATTAAAACTGTCAAATGAATTGTATTTTATAGTTTGTAGTTTTATCATTATAGTCACTTAAATCCTGTTCAAGTTCAAAAACATGACTGGATAGTGATTAAATATATATCTATAGAAACTTTAGATAGAAATATTATGAATTTAAAAAGACAGCTATAGACTAGTCTTTTTAAAACGATTGGCGATCAAGTTTATTTAAATGTCATTATAAAATAAGGCGGCTGATATTTATACCCCCAATTTTGTTATTCGTACCCCCTGTAGATTAATTTTTTTCAACTTTTGAGCAAAGATATCTCGACAACCACCAAGCCAAATGTGAGGAATTTTTTTTATTTGAATTCTACAGTTTTGTAGAATTAAAATAAAAAAAAATCATCAATTTTGGCTTGGTGGTTGTCGAGATATCTTTGCTCAAAGTTAAAGAAGAAATTTGGCACAACTTTTATTTTTATAGACGTTTTGTTTTTTAAAACTTTGAGCAATGTTATCTCAACAACCACCAAGCCAAATTCGATGAATTTTTCTATTTGAATTCTACAAAGCTGTAGAATTCAAAAAAAACCCCCATTAAATTTATCTTGATGGTTGTCGAGATATCATTGCTCAAAGTTTTAAAAAATCACAGCTTTTATTTTGATAGATGTTTTGAGTTTTTAAAACTTTGAGCGATGATATCTTGACAACCATCAAGCTAAATTTGATAAAATTTTTTTTGAATTTTACAAAGCTGTAGAATTCAAATAAAAAAAAATTCATCGAATTTGACTTGGTGGTTGTTGAGATATCATCGCTCAAAGTTTTAAAAAACTCAAAACGTCTTTCAAAATATTAACTGTACCAAAATTTTCTTCAACTTTGAGTGAAGATATCTTGACAACCACCAAGCCAAAATCGATGGATTTTTTTTTTTATTTTAATTCTACAAAGCTGTAGAATTCAAATAAAAAAAAAAATTCATCAAATTGGTTTGGTAGTTGTCGAGATATCATCACTTAAAGTTGAAAAAAAAAAAAAAATTTACAGGGGTACAAATAAAATTGGGGGTATGTATATCAGCCGCTATAATAAAGTTCAAAAATAATCTTCAAATTATTGTGATCAGCGAAAATCAATAAAATTTCATTTTAATTCCGGATTCCGTGTAGTGTGTAGCACATGAAATTCACTGATCGTAGTAATTTGAAAAGCGCTATAAAATAGATTCAAACTTCGATTTCAGCATTATCTGTGACGTTTTAATGATATTTAACTCATATGGGCGGATTTGACGCATTTCATTAATGTGATATTTTCGAATTGCACATCAATGTTTTTAAATTGGCCAATAATATTGCTTTTTTTATAAAAGAATAAATATCGATATAAACTATTTTCCTAATTTAGAAGCTTCGATCTAAAAAGGAAATAACAAGTTTTTATTCTATATTGTCACAATTTTCATCTGATTTAATCACGTGGTTATAATAAACAAGTCTTGTAATGATATCTAAAAATAGTTTGTTTTACTATGTCACGATTTTGTCACATAAAATTAATCGACACATGCGTCACATCCACACATATGTATAGCTTAAATTATTATTTTTATCTTTCCATCTGTGAAGCAGGTAAAAACATCGTAACATATGAAAGTCTACAGATAAGGCAGCTATTTAATCAAATAATAATCTGTGACATATAAATTTATTTAAATTATATGTTTGTTTAAATTTTTCTTGCGAGTCCAAAATTTTGACGTTAAACAACTAATCAACTTTGAACGGCCTAACAGAGTTAATGTCACTCGTAGCTGTACATGGAAGTGACATTAATTTCAATAAGAAAACACTGAAATCGTTATTATTTTTCATCATTAATATTTGTATCTTGACAATTGAATATATGAAACGTATTTTATATTTGATGTGTCGGCAGCTCAAGCAACCGATACTTTCTTAATAAAAATATTTATGACACTGATCGTACCTTGTATTAGTCCTGTAGTTGTAGCTAATCCAATATCAGTATGAATGTGGATCATTATGTTGTTAACAAGGATGTAGAAAATATGGGTGTTGCTAAAAGAAAACCCGAAAGTTTAATTATGACTTAAATTTAAATTTTCGGGTTTTCTTTTAGCAACACTCATATAGATTATTAGTATCATGAGAATCATATGAACACAAATAAATCTCATATGCATATATCCAATTAGAATCAAGGGTTTGTGTCTGAACTCGTTTCATTATAAGGTGTTACAACTATCTCGAATTGACCAATTAGATTACAAGATCAGGTGTAACGTGAAAATCATGCGTTTTGTTAAAAACCGCCTGTAACTCAAAATTTCATCTATGTAACCTTCTTCTGCGCACTAGTAAAAAAAAATTCCTTGCAAAATTTTAGTTTTAGACAAGGCTCGTTATAATTGTAAACCTGACCATAATGTAGTGTTTTATGACTTGATCAGTGAAAAATCGGTCGGTGCCATTGGGGTAATTATGTAATAAGGATTGACAGCAAATTTTTAATCATGGCTCTTTTATTTCCTACAATCACTTGTATTTTGTAAACGGATTTATGTCCATCTTTTATTTACAAGCAAATTAGTTATAAGTTACCATTTAAATATATATTCATATAACTAGCTGACTGTATGAATAGATTATTCAGTATATTCTAGTAATGATTATTAGAAATTGGTCTACTATTCTGGTTTCTCATTTGAACTTGTCTCAAGATCGAAAATTGAATAATCCAGTTTTCTTACTCATGATCTTCCTTAGATCCGTCATTTAAGTTCTTTAACCAATCCGAATATAAATCTTTAATCTTAATATTTAAATTTATTTGGATTTAAGGACCAATTTAAATAGTCAGATTTAGGATCGAAACATTAATTGTCAGTAACACGAATCACATGAATCAAAATTGACTAAACAGATTATAAAGCGGACGGTGTGACAAAATTAAAATTTTATTACTGGAATAGCATAAATAGGTAGATATTTTTGACTTCTTATTTCGTATTATTGACATTCTTTTAATTCTTGAAATTTTTTTGCCTTATAATTTTCGTAAAATGGAGTACTATGCTTTTATTTGGCTTTTAATTGCCATCTCTATGATAATAAATGTTATTCCTGTTACCTCAAAACCCAATTCTATTACTTTGATCAAAAATGCTCCTAAACATTCTTTGAATGAAATTTTTCAATTCAATAGAGATTATCTTACGTCTAGATACGAACATTTAACCCGTGGCCCTGATCAATATGCCCTTAATAAACTCGCATCTGCTGAAAAAAGATCTAAAACCATTAATATTGCAGCATCTGAATTTGGATACTTTGGACCAGTCGTTATAGGTGGTCAAAAATTTAACGTTAGGTTCAGCTTAGCAGATTCTGATCTTTGGGTTAGTAATAGTTCTTTAATAATTACAAATATTTACATTATTTTAGCAGTGAAAAGTATTTTTTATACCTTTATTATTCTAAACATTAGGTTCCTTTAGCGCCTTGCTGTGGTCACCACAATAAATTTAAGGAAAGTTTATCGAAAACATTTAGACCCCTCAATACTAATTACGCAATCTCGTACGGACCTACAGTAGTCCAAGGTGTTCTTGGAAATGATAAACTTTTAGTAAACAGGATAAAATCTGACCAAATATTCGGTCTTACACATTCAGAAAATGGATTTCTTAAGAAAGCTGTATTTGATGGGATGTTTGGTTTGGGTTTTGACAGTCTTAGTCATTTCAATACTACATCGCCTTTTTCAAAAATGGTTAAACAAAAGGCCGTAAAAAATCCTTATTTTGGTCTTCATATAAGTGGTGAGGGTGACGTGGGAACATTAACTTTTGGCGACATTGACAAAACTAAATTCACTGGTAAACTTAATTACCACAATGTATCTACCATTAATGGTGAATACGTATTTTGGATGACTAACGCGGACAACATTTCTATTAATGGTAAAAAACTTAAATACAAGAAAAAAATGGCTATATTTGATACTTCCGCATATGCCGTATTTATGTCATCTGATGATGCTGATGCCTATCATAAATTAATTAAAGGATCAGAAAAGAGAAAGATATCTAATGATGTTGGAGAAGCCTATGTTGTGCCCTGTAACACAACTGTTAAAGTAGAATATATATTTAGTGGAATCAAATATCATTCAAATCCGATTTTATTGAAGCAAAATGATATTTGTGTTTCTTCAGTTCAAACTGCAAATTTAGATAACAATCTTTGGATTATTGGAGGTCCATTTTTTAGAGATGTTTACTCAGTTTATAACATAAAAGATTTTACGATTGGACTTGCTCCCGCATCAAAATAGTATAATTAATGAGTTTTGAAATAGTAACTCAAATAAATCTAATAATTTCTTGTTAATTAATATAAATAATTTCTTGTTAATTAATAAAAATGAAAGCTCTTATTCATAAATAACAACTAGTTACGAAAAGATTTTGTTTTTTTTATAAAAATTCGAGGTATATAACAGACACCAAAAATGGATAGTTTTTATAGTAATGAATCGATCTATTGCGCTTGTAGTAATGGGTACACTTGCACTTATAGTAATAACCAGTTTATGTCAACTTATGAATCGTTTAATATTAACGATAATTTTATCACATTTATTTCTGTATTTGGAGGAGTACTTTTCTCTTCCTTCCAAGGTCGGTCAAACCCTTCATGCCTTCAATTATAAGCATTTATTAAATTATTCATTAGACTTTATATATTACGCATATGCCTGATCACACTCCTTATAATTTGTGTTATCTCAACATTCATGTCCATTGTTAATATCATATACAAATCGTCCTTCTTACAGAAATGTGCTATATGTCAATTTTTTTTAAATTATATCATTCTTCCAAACCTTCTTATAGTATTCATACGTTATGTAAATGCAAATGTAACTTATATAAGATAGCTGCGCAGCACGTGGTGCTGCGCTGGACCAGTACGATTACATGCAGAAAATAGTAAAACCCTTTTCAAATAGCCTAGATCTCTATATCTGCTAATTATATTAAAATTAATATTATACACTCTGAAAATTTTACTGCAAATAAAATGAAATCAAAATTAACAAAGCCCAAAAAAAA